GAGCTTGCTGCTTTGTTTCTTTTCCCCCCTCAAGCTACAATTTACATACAGGAAAATCACCCTTTTAGTGTATAGTTTTACAAGTTTTAATGAACACAAACAGTTGTGTAACTGCCAATGCAGTCAAGATACAGAACACTTTTTCACTCCACAAAGTCCTCCCATCTCCCTTTGAAGTCATCTCTCCTTGGTCCCTCGTGCCCGTCAGCTTTGAGCTGTTCCCCATCCCCAGGGTTTTGGTTTTTTTCAGAATGTCATGTACTTCTAAAAAATTATTATTGAATTTTTAGTTTTTTTTTGTTTTTTTTTTAAAGATGACCGGTAAGGGGATCTTAACCCTTGACTTGGTGTTGTCAGCACCACGCTCAGCCAGCGAGCCAACTGGCCATCCCTATATGGGATCCGAACCCAGGGCCTTGGTGTTATCAGCACCGCCCTCTCCTGAGTGAGCCACGGGCCGGCCTGTATTTTTAGTTTTTTAATTAAAAAAATTTTGGCAGGGGGGCAGGTGGCTGGTACAGAAATCAAACCCTGGACCTTGGAATTACCAGCACCACGCTCTAATCACTGAGCAACCAGCCAGCCCAACATTAGGAATAATGCTAATGTAAACATTTATGTGCAGGTTTCTGTGTGGCTCATAAATATCCATTTTGAGTTAATTTTTGTGTGAGTTAAGAAGTATAGGTTGAGATTTTATTTTGTTTTTTTGTGTGTGTATGAATGTCCAATTTTTCTAGTACTATTTATTGGAAAGTCCATCCTTTCTCCATTGGGTTGCCTTTGTCAGAAATCAATGGGACATCTTTTTTTTTTTGGCGGCTAGCCGGTAAGGGGATCCTCAATGGGTCATCTTTGTGTGGGTCCATTCTGGGCTCTCACTTTGCTCTGTGGGTCTGTCATTTCGCCAGCACCACATTTCTTTATTACTGTAGCTTTATAGTGAGTTTTAAAATCAGGCCATGTGAGTCCTCTTTGTTCTTTTTCAAAATGGTTTTAGCTAGTCTAGTTCCTTTGCATTAACACATATATATATGCATACACACACACACACACATATATATATACACATATATGCATATATGTGTATGTATATGTGTGTGTGTATATATATATATATATATATATTTTTTTTTTTTTTGGCAGCTGGCCGGTGCAGGGATTGAACCCCGGACCTTGGTGTTATCAGCACCAAGCTCTAACCGACTGAGCTAACTGGCCAGCCTAACATATACATTTTCAGTTTGTCGATTTCTACAAAAAGAGATCTTTGTGTATCAGTACATGGAGAGCTTGCTTATTAGTTTTGTTTTGTTTTTTTAATTAATCGACACATTGTAATTATACATACTTATGAGGTACAATCTGATGTTTCGACACATACATATGTCATATAATAATTGGGTCAGGGTGGTTAATGTGTCAGTCACCTCATGCATTTCTCATTTCTTTGTGGCAGAAACATTCAGAAGCCTCTCCTCTAGCTGTTATGTAATATACAAAACTTAACTGTTATCCATAGTTACCCTGCTGTGCAATAGAACATCAGAACTCATTCCTCCTATCTAACTGACTTTTGTACCTGGGTTATCAGTTTTTATAACTGTATTTTCCTATCCACAGTCACCTGCACACCTGGACCAGTGCATTCTCTGCCTCCTTGGTCTTGTATCTTCTGACTGTGTCCCCACCCCCCCGTGCTGTTCTCCCTACCACGGACAGAGTGAGCCTGCTAAGAATATATCCCTTTTCTGCGGGACCAGTGCATTCTCTGCCTCCTTGGTCTTGTATCTTCTGACTGTGTCCCCACCCCCCCGTACTGTTCTCCCTACCATGGACAGAGTGAGCCTGCTAAGAATATATCCCTTTTCTGCACAGAGCCTTCCATGGCTCCTGGTTCCCTCAGAGTAGAAACTAAAGTCCTCTGTGTGGCCCACAAGGCCCTGTGCAATCTCCTCACACCCCTTTCCCCTTGCTTCCTCCTACACCTCCCTCACTGGCTCTGCTCCAGCCACACTGGGCTCCTTGCTGTTCCTAAAACATCAGTCTCTGTCCCATCTGCCACCTCAGGGCCTTTGCATGTGCTGTTCCTGCTGCCAGGACTGCTCTTCCCGTCAGATAACCCTGGGCCTCCTTTCATCAGCTCCACCAGCCCCTGCTTAAATGTCTCCTCCCCAAGAGTCCCTCCCTGGCCATTCTGCTAAAATGCCCCACCCTGTCACTCTGTCCCCTTGCACTGCTTAATTGTTCTTAGAAGCACTTGTCATTCCTCATCATTGTTTTACCTATTTGGTTTAGTGTCTGTCTCCCCTCACTAGAAGAATAGTGCCTGATGGTGGGACCTTGCTCCTGGGTGTGCCTTGGGCCCTGGCACAGTGCCTGAAGTGTGGGAGGTGATCGAGAAACCCACCTCCCTCTCTACGTAAACCCATCGGTCCACGTCTCCATCACTAAGAAGGGCTCCGACCCAGGCTGCCACCCAGCTGAAGCTGAACAGACCCGGTCACCACTTCATGGAGTTAGGCTAGGAAGCACAGGTTGGCCAGACACAGCACAAAGGAGTGGCAGCTGTTGCTAAGATCAGGGTCACAGAGGGGATGAGGCTACAGGAGGGGGGGATAAGGCTACAGGAGGGTGGAATGAGGAGTGGCCACAGTCCAAGTCTGGGCCCTTCTCAGGAGTGTTTGTGTGGGCCAGCAGTGGTTTTCCGAATCCTTGACCTTGATATTATAATACCACGCTCTAAGCAACTGTGCTAATCGGCCAGCCCCCCGCTGTGGTCTTTTTTATCTTAAAGGTGGACTTGTTTTCTTGTTGATGCATGGGGAACTCGTATTTTTTTTTCCCTCCTAAATATCTTTATTGAAATACAATCCACACACTATAAAGATCATCCTTTCAAAGTGTACTTTTCAGTATATTCACAGAATTGTGCAACTATCACCACTATCTAAGTCGAGAACATTTTCATCTCCCCAAGTCGAGAACATTTTCATCTCCCCAAAACCCCATACCCATAAAACAGTCACTTCCCACTCCCATCTTCTGGCAACCACTAGTCTAACTTTTTGTCTCTCTGAATTTGCCCTATTCTGAATATTTCATATAAATGGGATCATACAATATGTGGCTTTTTGTGTCTGGCTTCTTTCACTGAGCATAACGTTTTCAAGATTCATCCATGCTGTAGCATGTGTCAGTGCTTCATTCCTTTTTCTTTTTTTTTTTTTTTTTCCTTTTTTTTGTCTTTTTTCGTGTCTGGCAACGGATCGCACCCCTCGGTGTTGCACCCGCACCTCGCTCAGCCAGTGAGCGGGAACCGGTCTGTATGTGGGATCTGAGCCCTTGGCGGGAGCGCCACCGCGCTCCCAAGCGGCGCACTGTAGCAGTGTGCCACCGGGCCGGCCCTACATTCCTTTTTCTTTTTTTTTTTTTTTCCTTTTTTTTGTCTTTTTTCGTGTCTGGCAACGGATCGCACCCCTCGGTGTTGCACCCGCACCTCGCTCAGCCAGTGAGCGGGAACCGGTCTGTATGTGGGATCTGAGCCCTTGGCGGGAGCGCCACCGCGCTCCCAAGCGGCGCACTGTAGCAGTGTGCCACCGGGCCGGCCCTACATTCCTTTTTCTTTCTTTGTTTTGTTTGTGTGTTCTTTTGGCAGCTGGCCTGTAAGGGGACCTGAGCCCTTGACCTTGGTGTTATAACACTGTGCTCTAACCAACTGAGCTAACCCACTAGCCCTTCATTCCTTTTTATGGTCTCATAATATTCCATTTTATGGATATGACACATTTTGTTTATTCATCTGTTGGTGGACATTTGGGTTGTTTCCAACTTTGGGCTACTGTGAATAATGCTGCTATGATCATTTGTGTATAAGTCTTTGTGTGGACATATGTTTTAATTTCTCTTGGGCATATATACTTAGAAGTGGAATTGCTGAGTCATATGGTAATCCTTTTGTTTAACTTTTGAGAAACCGCTAGAACTTTCCAAAATGACTGCACCATTTTACATTCTCACCTGTAGAGTGTGAAGTTTCCAGTTTCTCCACATCCTTGTCAACACTTGTTATTATCTGTCTTTTTGAGTTTAGCATCCTAGTGGGTATGAAGTGGTGTTTATCTCATTGTGGGTTTTTTACATTTCCCTAATGATTAATGTGCTTTTCATGTGCTTTCTGTCTGTCTGTCTTTGGAAAAATATCTGTTCAAATCCATTGCCCGTTTTCAAATTGGGTTATTTGTCTTTTCATTGTTGATTTGTAAAGAGTTCTTTATATAGTCTTGATACTGGTCCCTTTTGCAATATATGATTTGCAGATATTTTCTCCCATTCTGTGGCTTGTCTTTTTATTTCCTTGATAGTGTCCTTTTTCTGCTTCTAAGCAGAAAAGTTTTAAATTTGATGATGCCTCATTTTATCTATTGTTTCTTTGTTGTTTGTTTTTGGTGTCATATCTAGGAAGCATTGTCTAATCCATGGTCATGAAGATTCACTCCTATATTTTCTGTTAAATGTTTTATAGTTTTAGCTCTTACATTTAGGTCTCTGATACATTTTGAATTAATTTGTGTATATGGTGTGAGGTAGGGGGTCCAACTTCATTCTTTTTTTTTTTTTTTTTTTTTTTTTTTTT